AAAATAATAATAATTATTATAAAAATAATAATAATAACAATAATATTAATAGTAGTTCAAAGAACCATTAATTTAAAAATTATAACGCGAGTAAAATATTGGAAATATTAAAATCGTAATTAAATCATTTTTAATACTAAATAATTTTGATAGGTAATATATTGAAAATATTATTATTGTAATAAAAACAATTAAATTAATAATAGATATTTTTGTTGTTCCATCAGAAAAATCAATTTGTTAATTATAATGCTATGAACATAATGGAAATAACAATTTATTTCTACATTATGTAATTATTAACTAGACGCCATTTATTGCCATTCCCAAAAGAACTGGCAATCGTTTATATATTTTCTTATGAACCAACTGAAAAAGTGGGCGCAGTTGGCAGCCGCTGTTGCTTAGCTTCATTATCCCTCGGGTGTCAAGACAGACACATGAAAGTGCAAGCTGCCAAAGAATAGAGGGCCAAGAGCTTTTCCAGCCAAGAACAAAAAGAACGCTTGAGAAACAAGAGAAAAAATACAGAACAAAACAAAACAGACAATTACAGGTGAGCGGTGCTTAAAGACATAAACAACTGGAAAACATGCCCCTGGGGCCAGAGCCTGGGCCATGAAAACTCGGACGGGCTGTGTGGCAGCAAAAGCGTTTTTAGATATGAAAAGCACACAAACACGCACATGCATAAACATTTATGCAGAAAGAGAGAGAGAGAGTGAGTGAAATACTGAAATAACAGGCAATCGGACAGCCTGCAAGTGAAAATAACAATCATAATATTCAATTATGCAATAGTTGCCCCGAGGTGCAGCGGGGTTCAGTTAGCTGCCTGGCCAGAGGCATTTGCCCTGCCTGCCGCCCGCTCCACACCCCTTGCATTGTTGCTTTTAAATAATTTATAAACATTGTGTGCACTTAATGCAAAAAGCTGCAAATAAAATTAGCAAAAATGCTACTCGCTACATGCCGCTTGCCACTTGCCAGTCAGCGCGAATTGACATTACGTGCGATGCTTTGACAATCAAAAAGGGATTTAGTTAGCCATTTGTCGCGTCCTCTCATTTGTGCTGCCCACCTTGGGGCGATTTTAATTGAATTGTCGTTTGCCTTGAATTATGGATAAACCCCATTGACAAGTAACCCAAAACAAAGCAAAACAAAACCAAACCGTCGACCGCTTTCAAACGCGTTCCAGATTTATCTTAAGTTTGCTAACTTTTTCCCACCTAAGCGCCAACTGCTTAAAAATTAATGAGCCAACGCCGAAAGAGCTCGTCACCGGGTGGTTCACCCAACGAGCTCCACCATCAAACTTACCATTTGGTTGCCCCACTCTCTACTTTTGTGTGTGTGTGTGTGTGTGTGGGTGTCCGGGTGTGTGCGGGAGGGTATCATACAAAGTATCGTTAATCTGAACACGCATTATGCTAACGATTTGTCGTGAACGTTGTTACAAATAGTACTAAGTGCTTTGAAAATCTTGAGTATGTACTTCATAATTTAGAAATTTTCATCAAAATAATAAGACACGACTTTTCTTTTATTTAATGAAAACATTATACCATATTACAAAACTCTTAGACTCAAAGTAACTTATTCATTCCTAAATATATAATATTTATACTTATACACTTATATTTGAATATGTGCCCGTTTAGGAGAATCGCATCAGAATGGATAAACATTTATTTGAAAGTAAAATTCATAATATTGAAAGATTGTTTATTTTTTCAATAAATTATTAATAATAAATAATTAAAAATAAATAAATAATAACAAAAAATATAATAAATAATTCTTAAATATTGAATATTTTGTATTAGCTTTGCAAGAAAAACTGACTTAAAGATCGTTTGCCTAAAAATTCCTGATTCCTTTCATTCAGTATTTGACAAAGTGCACCACACACTCTCCAATTAACAAGCATTTTAATACAGCATTCGTGAAAGGCTTCTCGCGAGTCAAGAACTTTGACTGAAGAAAATGCAACAGCAACTGAAGGCAACAAAAAATTGGGAAAATCACAATTTTCGCACATAGCGCACAATAATCAAAGGGGAAAAGTGCGAAGCGGTGATAGTAAAACAATAACAGGGCAAAAAAGTGATGCAACACGATGGCAAAACAACAAGCCAGCAGGGGAAAAAAGAGAGAGACAGAGTGAGAGAGAGAGAGAGAGGGAGAGCGAGCGAGTGAAAGAGGCAGCATAGACAGAGAGCTTGAATTTCGGGCGCGGCTGACAAAGTAATTGCAACACGCGAATGAATGCGAAAATTCAATTATTTTCGGTCATTATTATTTTTTCCGCGTCCAAACGACTCGAGTGCGTTTTCCAGCACTGCTCTCTCATTCGTCGCGTCTGTCGTCTACCCACGCACTTTATGCAAAAAAAAAAAACAACTTTCTGCGACGTGCAATCAATTGCCGGCACCGACTTGCCGGCACCCCCCTTAGCCTTCGACAACTTTTGCAACCCTGTCATTTTGCGCTGCCTGGTCCATTGTCTGCACACTTGGACGACCGGGCCGCCAAAGTGTTGCAAAACGTTTCTACAGTTGTTGTTGCTACTGCACCTCTTTGGAGGAAACTTTGCTCACAAAAGGCAACTGCAAAAATTAAGTTAACTTTTTCGAGCAACGGGAATTGAGTAATTTTCAGCTGTAAAACTTTATTATTATTTTGGGGCCAGAGCTGGCTCTCATTGTTATTGTTGTTGTGCCGCTGCACCAATTGTAGTACATGCCAACTTGTTGTTATTGTTTAAATGTTAATTTTACTCTACTTGTAAATGGTGTCCGTTTGGGCGTAGGTAATGGGATGGGAGCGCCCAAAAAGTTGCACGCCTCAAAAGTAGGTAGAACATGCAAATTGCATTGTGAAAACGAAAGGAGGTTCCGTCTGCCCCAACGGACACTCCGATGCTGAGGCCAAGCAATGAACTAAAGCGCCGCCTAATTGCATTAATGAAGAGCTAGGCAGCTATCTAAAGTTTGGAAACTGGCAAAAGCTAATAAGACGTCGTCTTTATAAATTACAAGCAAGTTATAATATTTTTAATGTTAACAAAAAATCCTGCATAGACTCGTGTTGGCTCTGAACTAGATGCCCTTGTTAGTAACTGAAGGAATAATAAACTTTTAAACAAAATATGTACCTTTTTATGGTTAGCTCTGAATGAAATATTACTAAATTATAATAATTAGATATTATATAAAAAGATTATATACACATTAAATAAATGACCACATTCTTATGCAAAATGAAGTTCTTATACTTGAATAATAAATGTAAGTACACCCTAAAAACTCTTGCGTTTAGGCTTCAAACTCTTGCGTTTCAGGTTATCGATATCAAACCTTAAAAAAAACAGTTAAAATTGATTTTGAATCCGTGGAGTATGCAAAGCACAAGTTGTAACCCTAACAAAATGTTTATAACTAACTGGTAGAATAAGTCGACTAACCGAATTAAGCTGAGAGCGGGAATAAAAGAGAGCTAAGGGTTTCAGTGCATATATACCTATCCCGTAATCGTTAAAATATTCATTATTATAGGCTTTATAAACTGCAATCAAAAAAATTATATTTCTTATTTAAAGTTTCCAATCTTGTTCTCTTTTTTCATCTTAAATATTAGTCTGTATCGTATTTTTGATTTTGTACATTCCTCTCCCAAGGCAAAAAACTCAAAACTCATTTCATTTAGCGCCTAGCGCTTAAATCAAATTAAAAATCGCACCAATGACCAGGCGCTGACCCTGGGGCCATACCCCCAACGGAGTTGCCACCTGAGCCGAGGGTAAAATACTGCCACACGGCTCAGTGACTGCAAATCAAAATAAAATGTAAATCTCTTTGAGCGCGGGGCGGGCTTTTTGGGCATGCTGAAATCAGTTTTAGCTGTCAAATAAATTACATTTCTTTTTAACCAGCGGGTAGGGTTGTCAGCTGCCTGCGCATGTTGCGACAGTGGCTACAAAATGGCGCTGAACGCATAATTTAGCAGCCTCATCCTTATTTAAGCACACACAACCCTGGCGGCGAGCATTCACTTGGTTTAATTGATTTTACAGTTAGTCGCTCTGGGCGGGGGCTCGAGAGTAGAGTTTTTGAGTTATAAATTTAACAAGTGTCGATGGGCGCTTCGATTTGTTTTTGTTTGCGTCGGCTGGGAGTTTGTAGCTGGTTGATGGGTGATGGCAACCCCGCCGTACACTCATTTGCACTTAACACTTTTGGCCATTTTGTTTGCCGAGCCGCCATTGTTGCCCTGGTAAATAAAGTGCTCAAGTTTATTTGGTTAACGGCTCTCCCCCCACCCCCCACCCCCACCCTCTACGTCTGCCGAGGGCAATGATGAGGAAAATTGCAAAATTTTCGTTCCTGTCGATAATTAAATATGCTCAGCGATTGTGCGGCGGCGGAGCGGTGCACATGTCTAATTGGATTGTTACAGTGTTGGCTAATGCCGACACATCGGAAACCCAACTCTCAATATTTGACCCACATAAGTTCCACACAAATTTCGTTTCGCTTGCTTTTGCCGAAAAACTTTTTAATGAAGTTTCGCCGTTCTTAAAAACTTTCCGCTCGACGACATGTTGTTCTCTATTTATTTTGATTTCTCTGTGCAAGTTGCACAACACTGGCTAAGCGGCTCATTTTGTTCGTGATACGCTTTTAATTAGTGGCGATGGCGTTGCCACTAAACTTTTCGCAGCTCCCTTAGTCTCAGCTGATGCGCCGGGGTACAGTTGTGTTTATAGCTGGCTTAGCTAAAGTACAGTTGTGTACGAGTTGGCTTAGCAACTGTGAAGTGTGGCATTGGAAGTTTATGTTAGTTTGCCAAGCGAACTTTGGCGGTCGGCAAATAGCAAATGACACTCAAGAAATTCGAAAAGTTAATAACGAAGCGCGTTAGAATTGTGTAATGAAAACATAATAATTAAACTTTAACTTATCCAACTTTCTTCCACTCCTTCTCTCTTTTTGCAGGTGCGCCCACAGTAGTTGCCTTGAATGCCACGCCTGTTGCGTATCCGGGCTCACCCTTGCACCTCAATGTGGAGTTCTGTGCCAATCCGCCGGCGCATGCGGCACGCTGGTTGCACGGCGATCGCGTCTTCACGCCGGGCAATCAATATGGCAGCACCGTACTGGCCTACGCGGTCAAGGTAAGTAATTGAAGCCGATGAAACTTTTACTTTTATGCAATAGTATTTTATTTTTTTCTAGGATCTGCCCACGCCCTACTGCAAGGAGGCGCGCCTGACCTATGTCAGCATGCACGAGCGTGTGCCGCGCACTTTCTACTTTATCGTCTCGTCGCCAGGTGGCGTTGCCGAGGCCGTGTTCAATGTCAACTTTACGAAGCGCCACCGCCAGATGTCCAACACCATCGACGACGACGAGGAGGAGGAACTCAATCGACCCGAGCAAATACACTTTCCGGTCTTCAGCAATAACACTGCGAGCGGGCGGAGCTTGGAGCTGGCCCTGGCATTTACTCTCCTGGGCGCAACGCTGTTGCATTCTCATTAACTTTAAGAGTATGAGTGAAAAAGTTAAAAGGCGCTACAGAGAGCGAGAGAGTCCGAGTATGTGTGAGCGTGTGAATGAGAGAGAGAGAGAATGAGAGAATGCTGACTATTTACTCATGCAATTTATTATGCTATGTACTACATACTACCCACTATTTCTAAGCGCATATAAACATATATATCCACTATATATAACATATGTACTACTATATGCTATTGCCCACAACTACTACTACTACTACTCTAAAGCTATGTGTATGTGTACTTGTAACCAATTAGCAAAAGCATTAAAACGAAATTATGCCACTTTAAAACCTAAGCTAAAACCCCCACGACCCTCCCCCTAAGGACTAATTCACACACATTTAGTAGGCATCTAAGTTGGCAACTTGAACTTTTTAGCTAAGCATTAGCCACATCCCCAACTAAAAAACTCATACTCAATATTTTTACTGTAGTCGTAAGTACGTAACTGTAACTGTAACTGTGTGTGTACGTGTGTAGTACTTAGTAGCAGCGCTTACCTTGAATGCCAAATAGAAGAAAAATTAAATTTAAGTAAAATATTAACACGAAAGTAAATTTTTGCGTTTACCTATTGTTAAAAGTTGAGCCATACATAATTATTGTACTTTAAGTTCCTTTTCGAAAAATAAGCGAGTAACTTGCAAAGTGACTGATTTTTGTTAAATATTTTGAGGCAATTAGTGTTAGAGTGAAGCAGAAAGAGAGTGCTTAAAAAAAGAAAGTTAAATACTATACTTTAATGTAAATGAAAAGCAAGTAACTTACCAAGCACGAACAAATTCCTTCCATTTGAATTTTTGCGCATTCGAATAGGCAAAATATAAGTATATAAACAAGCTGTAAAATATTTTGAGAGTTAAAGAGAGCAAAATTTATATATAAATCAATTAAAATCTTGAGAAATTATTAAAAAATATTATTTTTAGTCCAGCTGTTAAAGCATAAATTGTACATTTTTATGAAAGGTATAAGGCAAAGGTAAAATTTTAATTAAATACAATTTATATTTTGATTTGTTTGTACACATATTTTGAACATTAAATTAAATAATAAAAATACATATTTCTGGGTCTTTAAATATATTTAAAAAATAATTGAATTTTTGCTTGCACTAAATCAACTTAAAATTGTAACTTATTTTATTTGTCTGCATTTTAAGTTTACATAATTTACAAGGACCAAAAACTATTGCATATTTTTGAAATAAATTTAAGAATTCCAAAACAGATGGAAAATTAGTTTGGAAAAAAATAAAATAATAAAACCCTCCACACAAAATATACAAAATTGTACATAAATGTTTAAGTAGCGATGTGCTCAAAAAATAATATAAAAAAATAAATAACTAAAATTAAGCACAGAAAATACAAAAATACAGAACAATATTATATAGCAGGTGTTAAATGTTGTTTGAAATTAAGAAGCCCCCAAAAATAGTATGGCACATGTAGCAGCAATTTGAATAGTGCGAAACTAAATAATATAACAATATTATAAACAAAACAAATATAGCAAAGCTTAAGCTTTGCGCTATTGTAAAATAAATATTTTCAAAAACCCAAAGTAGAGCTGACAAAAATTCTTAGCGCGCTGCTTTTGTGTATAAAGCCAAAGCTTTTGTAATTTATTTCATAGAACATCTTAGCTATATAGACATATGTATTGTATGCGCCATATAAAGTACTACTACATTTTAAGAGATCAATGTAAAAATCAACAAGAATTACTTAGAAGAACCTAACGCCAATTTAAGCAAAATTTGTATTGCAAACGCAAACATTTACGCAGAGTTCCAAGAATTCAGCGAACACAAATAACAACAACAACAACAACAATTACAAGTTGGAAGCGTTTTAAGCATTGTAAAAAATATAATTTAAAATTTAATTAGAAATATGCCAACATGCATAGATGGATATGTACTTATGTATGGATAGCCTAACTGTATGTGTGCCATGTAAAATTGAGTTAAGAGAGGGTTTTTTTGGTTTTTATAAACGAAAATTGCGAATTGTATTAACAAAGCAAAAACAAACACGTCGTCATGTTAACTAACAAAATTAATTATTAACAAATGGAAATTATGGTATTATATACATACATATAAATATATATGAATATATATTACAAAGAGTGGTCAAATGCATATTGTATTTATTATATGATTAATTATTATGATAATATTTACAAAATATTATTTGTAATTAAAACAAAAACACATATAATACAGTAACACTTAGTTCTTAAGCGAAACAAAAAACATTATGTGGCAAATTAATTTTTAAATATTACAGAATATATTATAAAAACCTAAAACAAAAGTCAGTTCATTTGTAGTGCAAAGAAAATGTGTTGAAAAACAAAAAACAAAACGGGAAACATGAAATATGCATACGAAAACACAAGAATACGAAATACAATAAGCAAAGGTTTAAGTCATAGGCCCAAGATAAAAGCAACAACCACCAAAGCAAATTTTTAGCAGTACGAATACGAATAACTACTAAAGAATTACTGGGTCAGAGCTGCCCCACAGGGGGGTAGAGAGCAAAACATGAAATCAAAAGGCGCACCAGCATAAATATATATATAAAAACAATAAAGCTTGGACCCTGCCCCAGAAATCAATTGCATTCAATGGGTCAACAGCAGGGCCAACAAATAACTGTTAAATTTAAGCCAGATAAAGTTGCAATAGGAAGAGATCGCAAAAATTTACAAGTTTAAGAGACAAAGCAACAGACAAAATAGCCAATTTAGCATAAAGTAAAAAGTAAAAGCAAAGAAAAACCAAAACAAATGACAGCAAAAAACAAAAACACAAAATGAACATGAAATAAAATTTAAAAATAAAAATGCAAAATAAATAATAAAAACTTAGATTTCTTTTTAATCCTTGCCTTATTTTCTCTGTTCTGAATCGTTATTTTCAAATGCCAATCGTGAGTCTGAATCCTTACGAGCTCAAAATTAAATGTCTTCTAAAAATCGGACTGGAAATACTCGAGATATTCCAATTACACTAATTATACAGTTTTTGATTTTATAACTCGGCCACATTAGTCTGATCTTGGAATGATATATCTTGTTGTACTCGTGAATCTCTATAAAACAGATTAGAAATTCTAGATGTCAATGTCCTGACCATAAACATACGTGATACCAAGCGGATCCAGTTTTTAAACGATCCCGTTGTTGGCGAGAATCGCTCAACAACCGCATGCCACAGATATTTTCCTTTCACATTTGCTTGTCGGAAAATTCAAATTCAATCAATAATATGGTCTGACCTCTTCGGGCAGTGTATGCGTAACAATTGGCAGCGTACGTGCAACCTGAATTGGTAATGAGATTTAGGAAAGATTGCAAATGCGCTTGCAACATGCAGCAGCATCCAATTGCATCAATATCAATCAAAAAGGCTGCACCCCGCCGATGTGGCCAACGAAAGGGAAAGGCCGCAGCTAATTTTGCTGAAGAGGGGCGGGCGAGCGGGGAGACGCTTTGAGGACGCTTCGGGGCAATGCGAGAGATTCCGGTTTTCATTTCGTACATTGGCCCAATGCGTTGTCAACATGGACTGCCGCTGCGTCTGGCAGCGTGGCTCTCGTTGTTTTTGTTGTTGTTGGTCAGGTTTATTACTTGGAAATCAAAAGTACAACGACTCCGCAGGACGGCATGGTCAATGGCGATATGGCCATGTGGCGGCGGTGGTGGCGGCGGCTGCTGCTACACTTTTTGGCCTAAAGAGTTGGCCAGCCAACCTGTTTGCTGACAACATCAGCCTTCAGTGGCAATGATAACGACGACAGCCAAGCAACCTGGCTGCTAGGCAGGCGGCTGGCCGGGCGGTGGGGTTAGCCGGTTTGCCACTTTGCGGCGCTAATGACGGCCAAATAGCAAAGGCGCCAGATTACACGAGCTGTGCGCGATCCAGTGCAGCGGGGGCGTACCGTACCGGCCCCGCTCTTGTTCATGCCAAACGCCCAGTCTATCAACTCGACTGGCAACGACCAATTGACATTCCTTTTTGGAGTGGAATAAACTCGTAATGGCCCTGGCGATACAAATCTGGCCAAGATGCCGAGCGACAACTAGCGCTAATGTCGACGCACGCGCCAAGCGCCAAGCCAGCGAAAGGTGCACCGCATTAATGTGTGGCAGAGGGGGCTGCCACTCGAGCGGGCTGGGAAGGGGATAACACATTGGAGCACCGCAAATATCCGCAATTGCCAATTGACATTGCTGTGCGCATTTCTTTTTAATTGTTGTCATGCCCAAAGCCACAAACCGGCTGCCAACTGGCGCCGCTGCTCAAATCTTTCATTTGCTTATGATATGATGCCTCACAGGAGGAACCAAACTGAACAGGAATAGTAACAAAAAAAAAGCCACAATTACATGTATACATCCATATATTCATAAAACTGCATAGTTTATGGTGCGTTCGAGCTGAAAGTGAATCAACCAATTGAATCATACGGGCATTCATGAATCCATTCGTAATTGTCGATTGCGCTGCTTTGAGGCGTGGCTGTTGCTCAGCCTGCCGCCTTCTTCTGCGGTGCCAATTTTGATGAAGTTATCGCAATTAGTTGGCTTATGGTGAAATCGCCCAACTTGGCAGCATGGGAAGTGGCTACCGGTCACTGGAGTCTATTATATATATGCACGCACATCTATGCGGCTGCGTTTTTAAATAATGAGTAATCACTCATAATATTCACGCTAATGAGTGCTGCATAACAAATAGAAATCAGCTAAATGCACTTGACGAAAAGATTTTATTTGCATATGTGCATAAATAAATAGATTTAAGTATTACACATAAATTCCATTTACATTTGCTAAGCTTTGCACTAACTTTTTATCAATCAATTGAGATAAATCAAAACTGAAGAAGAAAGTACATAATACAAATCCCCGACTATTTCGAAAGCATGTGCTATAATTTATTTAGTTAATATAACTAATTTAATTAAATAAAAAAATTTACTCTCTTTCGGATCGTAAAATTATTATTATTATTTATTATAATTATTGTACGCAAAATTGCATAAACACATTTTTGACAAAATAAGGAAACGAATGCAATAGTATTTTTTTTTAATAAAATAAAATTGTTTCATAAATAAATATTTTTCGGTCGATTTAATGAAATAATGAAATTCTTTTCTTCGCGCACTTTAAGCAATTAATTTATAGAATCATTTATACTTAATTATATTGGCCGTTGCACTCAATCCCGCCTTTAGGCTGGTTATACATTTTCTGTTTTCCGAGCACTTTTCATTATCCGCACTTTTATACGAGCAAATTTATTAAGTTCAGATGGCGACCCTTTGGGCGGCGCGACTTTAAGCGCGCTTAAAACGCTGACAATTAATTCATTGCTGCTGCTTCTTCTTCATCATCTGCTCATTGGCGTACGCACAAATAATTTTTCATACACTTTTATGAAATTTTACAGTTCAATTAATGCATTTTAATTTTAACTTTATTTTCCAATTTACTTCACACAGTTAAACGAGCGACGCGGCAAACTCGCCAACAACGGGCAAATAAAAAAAAAATAAAACAAGAAAACAAAAAAAAAAATTGGAAAAATATTGGAAAAAAAAGGCAACGCTGGCTGAATGCATGAAATACGAGTACAAAAATTGTTAACGCAAAATTAAAAATGGTTTTTGATTGATTGTTGCATAAAATTGGCTTTTGGTTCGAGTCGCCAGCCGCCACCGCCCATTCATTGTAATTACCTTTTGGCTCATTTTATTTGCCCTGCGCACTTAATTAGCACGGCAGATGGGCGTGGTGGGGCGTGGCATGGCGTGGCGGGCGAGACGCAACCGGCTGGCCATCACACTTCGATGCGCTTTTTGGGAATACAATAAGTAAATAGCAGAAATAAAATTAAATAAAATGATTTTAATAGATTTTCCGGAGTTTTCCCAGGGCTTTTACATTAATAAGCTGCGGCGGAGGCATTTCAATGATTTCCCCGACAATTTGTGCCGATTTGGTTTTCGGTTTCCCAGCGACAAGTTTGACCATGCGGAAGGAAGTTGATTTTCAGCCAGCAGCATGAACAACAACAACAACTATTGCAGAAGCAGCTACTCAAAGTTGACTTTTGTTACAATTTTTCGAAATGCTGAGACTGCGCAAATTAGCCATCAACAGCCAAGTTGGCCAAGTGGGGCAGGCGAGGTGGCAGCGCGGGGCGTGGCCTGTGCAATTTATGAGTCGCATTTCCTTTGACTAAACCATGCGAGTCTCTTGGCATGCAGCTTGCTCGCCTGGCTTAGTTACATAATCTCAGTATCCCAGTCTCTCGGTCTTTAATCATAATTGTCTTGCACACATACACACACACACACGCTGCGATTTTTAATCTGGCCACGCATTTGGTTGTGCGGAAGACGAGAGGAAGCTCCATCCAAATGACATCAAGCACAGCGAATCGGTGAAAGCCAAAATTGGCTGCAAATAATAATTGCTCATGTGGCATGTGCTCATGGTGCATGCAACATTCTCAGCGCACACACCAGCCGACGTTAATGAGATGCATTAGATAAGTAGGCTCTATAAATATCAGAAAGTTAAGCGAGCAAACGTTGAACTTAAATTACACAAAAAACATAAAAGAGCTTTAAATGAAAGTATAATAAAAACTAGAGTATGGCAGCTATTATTGTGTAATAAAAATTAGAGTATGATAGTTATTATTGTTATTAATATTATTAAATTAAATGTTTTTTTAGTTTTGAAACAGAAGTATGATAAATGATGATATTTTTAATTTTGCAAACTAGTCTCAAATTACTTTCGAAATATTTAATGAAAACATAATACAAAATAGAGTATAATATAATTATTATTATTATTATATAATTATTATTGATATTTATATTATTATTCAAAAAGCTAACTATGTTTTTTAGTTTGCTACAAAATTCAAATATATTTTTATGGAAAAAATACGCCAATATATCTTATAAAATAAATCGGGTCTTTTCGTTGTTTTTTTGTACGGCAAAGTAAAAAATTAATATTAACTAATAATTATCACGAATTAAAAAATAAATGAATATGCGCACAGAGTTATTTAACGATATTTGTTATTTTAAATCAGCATACTTTTATTCTCTCAGTACACAGTAAAATTTTAATTAGTCCTTTGGCAGACGACTTTAGCTGCAGTCTGAATTGAAATACTTTATTTCGATTAAAATTTATGCTGGGCAGCAATAAAAATATTAGCACAAATCTGTAGCTGATATGAAAAAGAAATCTTGAGATACGCAATAAATGAAGCGAATTACCGCAAGGCATATATTAAAGAAAAGCTATGCAATTTTAATAAATCAGTTGAGATACGCATGTAACGGTTGTCCGTCGGGTGCGTCATTCAGGTGCAAGAGCAACCCCCCCCCCCCCCTCCCCACGATATCAAACGAACGGCACATGAATCAATCAGCTCCAGACGTCAAATGCCTGACAATAAAAGCAACAAAATCTGTCGAATGCGGCTCATTAAAATTTAATGGAAATTGTACAACAAATCGTGAAAAGCACATGGAAAAAAGAAAAACAATGCGAGCACAAAAACGGCAGGTGATCAAAGACAACAACAACAACAAACATAAATATCAGCACAGGTGTAATAAGTATATGCGATAATAGCCAAAAAAAGTAAAGCCAGAAAAACGCAGAGGCGCAATTGAAGTTACAGTAGCTAAGGGCAAAAGCCGGGTTGGCAAATCTCAATGACAAGGGCTTTCACTGGCGAGTAGCTTTTCTTTATGGTTATTGCTGCTGCTGTTGTGTTTTCCACACAATTGGCCAAAGCGACGGCCAGGCCAAAAAACCTGTTGCACAGTTTTCCCGCATACGCTTTTTGGCAGGGTCAATGCTGCCGTAGAAAGCCATAAAAAAATGTCATTGCAAAGGCGGCAGCAAGCGCGCGAGAAACAGAAAGAGAGAGGGCGCCAGGCAGGGAGAGCTGCGCTTGCGCAATCGCTGGATGGACAAGTTTGGTGCTACAGTTTAAGGATCGACAGCGGCAACTGCCGCAATAGCAGCAGCAACAGCAACAACAAAAACAACCACAACCCGAACTTCAACAACATCCACATCCACAACGAGTGCGACTTCGACTGCATCGACTCCAGCGATCGAAAAGAAAACGAAATGCGCGATCCACCGCGGTTTCACTTTCATTCGCAACGCGCACGCGCAGCTGACAGGGTCGCCAACGTTGAGTGCTCCCCCAGCAAAAGGCAAAAGGCAGAAGGCAAAAGGCCGACTGAGCATAACTCAAGTGACGACAGTTCCCACAATTCCGAATCCTCGGTGAACAAACGCCAGACAAACGTAACTCACTTCGAGCAATTGAAATACGTCGCGTATTTGTTTTTAGCCCTCATATTATTGCCAAAAATACAGCTTGGGAAAGTGCAAAGAGAGTTAATATATGGATAGATTTTAGTTGATTTAAACGTGTGCAGAAAAGTGATTAAAAGTGCGTTTTAATTGTGCGGCAATCCATATAAATAATTAAGTGCTTTAATTACGCTGCGCTCCTCCATCCCTCCAACCAATCGCTCGAAATATTTAATGGATGCAGGTAAATTAATAATAAAATGCTGCATTTATAATGCACACTAAGCGTGGGAAAATGAAATGATTTCAATTATAAATAAATCAACTGGGCTAAGCTGGTAAAACTAAAGAAATTAACTCCAGAAATTGCATAATAATCAACGAATTATATTTTGTTTTTCTTTTGTAAGACATTAATTAAAGTTTTATTAGCGTTAAAATTGACAAACAATATTCTGAAAGTAGTTAAGAGAAACATTTTACTGAAAAGTCCCTGTACTTTTGAAATAGTATAAAAAATATATTAGATTAGATAACCTTGATGTTTTTACTTGACGCATTTCGTCACAAATAAAATTTTTAGAGTTGTTTTGCATTCAATTACCTTTTTAGATGACAAAACTAAGATTAATGCGGGAGATTGACTTTATTTTCCAAAAACTTTCCATAAAATTAAACCATAAACTTAATCTATCTAAACTGGTTAACCAAATTTTGATAAATAATATGAATAATTAAGCTGTAACCAAAAATAAAAACTTTTCTATAAAGTTTTCTAAATTAATTTTAATTTAACAATTCTTACATGTAACTTTTTAAATACAAAATAAGAAAAAAAAATAGAATGCAAGTATAATTCGTATTTAATTTAACTAATTTTTAAATGTTAAGTTATCGTTTAAGAAATTTATTATTATAATTAATTTTTTTTTTTTTAAATGTTTATTGTATTGATTCAAAAATAGCATACATTTTTATTACAACACAGTTGGCTTAGGTGGTATTTCGCCAAGCCTGGTTGGGTGCTCAGGCTTTATCGTGGACAAACGTCAAAGGCGGCTTTTTAAAATTATTATTTTAAAAAGCTTACAACCTTCTTTTATAAGTAGTCAGTTGTCAGTTTTGGGAAGAGAAACAAAACAAAATATTAAAAGTACTTCTTAATAAATATAATAAAATTATAATGTAGTGAAAGGTTTCTCCGAATTATCTTTCAAAGGTTATAATTGACTTGAAACTCATTTTGAACGTGCCCAAAAATCAATTTTAATCGCATTCGCTCAATTAAAAGTGTTGCACTTTGCGATTGTGCACTTAAATTGTGATCAATTTAAGAGTTTATGGAACTGAGATTATTATTGGAAAAGTAATCTAGAGTAGAAATTTATTATTATGAACTTGGCTTTGGCTGCACCTGTTTTCACAAAATTTACTTAGTTGATTTGCTGCTGTGGTTGTTGTTGTTGTTGTTATTTGGCCAACATGTTGTGCGAAACCCGCTGCTGCGGCTAAGTGCATTGTAAGTGCTTCGGGCCAAACATGAATGCGGCTAGTGAAATATGTTTTGGCGTGCATATTTAATGGCAATCAAAGCACAGCAACAACAACAACAACAACAACAGCAGCAGCGGCAATAACTATGTGAAAACCCGTACCGAACCATTTTAAACGCCATCAATTTCAATTTTCCAAATTAAATGTGCGTCGGCTGAGACGTCTGCGGCGACTGAGGCGGCTTCTCGGCCAGCGTCAGCAAATAATTAATAATTCATTACGTTGTGGCAACTGCAATGACATAAGCCCAAGCCGAACGCAGCCAAGTTCAACAACTCGAAATGAAAGCGATAAACGGCAAACGACAAGCGACAATAGGCGAATCTTTAGGGAAAATTCACACAGCGAAAGAGAAAGAAAAACGCCAAAAAGCCGAAACGCTAAAATGCCACAGCGAACGCTGCCACTTAGGAAAAATCATCATCAAACTTATCGCAAAAATCAAACAGACCCGCCAGTTGACTGCGGTGCCGGCTCCTCTCCGCTTTGGGGGCCAACCCGCTTGACTGCTTGCCATAGGCAAAAAGCTGTTAAGTGTTTGCTTGAGGAATGCACAGTTTGGGGTTATTCACACCGAAACTTAATGCTCTTTTGGCTATTTCCGTAACAGCGCCGCTGCCATGTGGCCCAAACTTGAACTGCTAGCAGCGACGGCCGCTGTCATTGGCATCTGTCTGCTGGCCGCGGCTAAAGTAACCCACGCATCGGTATCTGCCGGCAGCACCACCACCCTGCCGCTGCCCCTGCAACTGCCCACAATACCACAGAATTCGACAACGCCAACGAGCAAAGACAACACCAGCGACAACTCTGATGACGCCTTGAGTGACAGCCTGGAGGCGGTGGTGAGTCCAAGTTTAGCGACAGATTTTGACAGGTAATGAGACTCGCTCTTGACAGCTTAATAAGCAGGCAGTCAGCGAGCTGCAGGTCAACGATGATCCGCCCACAGCCAGGGAAGTGCTTAAGGAAGCGGAGCCGAAGGAACTGGAAGCGACAACGCCCTTGCAACAATTTGTGGGGTAAGCTTACGCAAAGAGTTAAACTAAAAGCAATTTCTTCAGACATCCACAACTTTAGTAATACTTATAGAAAATTCTTAAGCTGTCCTAGATTGCGGGAAATAGACAACTTTTTAGTAGTCTGCAGATGGAGAGAACAAAAGCAGCTGCTGCAGATATCAGCACAGAAATCTCTTCTGTCAATTTGCGAACATAATATTGAGCTTTGCTCTAGATCTTACCTTGAAAGGCAGATAGATATATTTCCTGATCCATCAGCCATCTGAGCTGCTACCTAATTTGTAGATATCTTCCACTACGAAATGGAACTGAAATTGCGGACGTAAGCTGGTGGCTAGGCGGACCCAAACAATATTTTGCGCTCGGGTATTGATCCCAAATACTGGTTACATAAAGCAAAAGATTACGTTGACACATTAAGGGCTTTACAAGAATTTCGTCAGCGAAATGGACCTCAGGATAGCTCTTTTGCTCATTTTTGGTCAGACTTCAAAATAAAGTAATTCTGAAATTGTGCAATATTTAAAGATACTTCCATAGACGCACATGGAACATTCAGTTACACTTAAACAAAACGAATTTAATATTTAATATTATACCTGTTTGTAGATTAAAAAGCTTGGCTACTTTAATAAAACTTGTATCAATTTTATTTTATGCACTTCCTCTCGTTTGCAGCGTGCCTGGCTTTCTGCCCACGGTGCTGTCCACATCCGAAGAAAGCAGCAGCATTGCCACGCCCACAAATGGACATGGCTATATACAATTCGATATCAATGAAGAGCCGCCCAGGCCAACTGTGCGTCGCGAAAAGAAGCCAAAGTCCAAAAAGGACACAGTGAATGAGGTGCTCTTCAGCCTGTTTCCCAACGGCTTCTCGGACATCTTTCGCTTTAGCGGCAGCGAGGCAAACACAGAGGCAGCCACAGATGCACCGAGCACCTCGGAAACCACTACAAATAAAGCGGTGGTGCATGCCACAACTGCAACGGAGTCCAGTGCCAACACAGAGCCCGTAACGTTGCCGCCTAAGAACGAGACCTTTTACAGCTACCAGACGACCGTGACAAAGGAGTATAGACGCGAGCTGCGGCCAGGACATACGCAAATCGTGGTGGAGAAGATCAGTAGTGCCGAGCGAGAACCGTTTACGGACGGCAGCAATCACATCTCCCGGGATGAGCTGTTGCGCATAAATCGCGCCGCAGTCGCATCTCCAGTGTTACCCAGTTTACTGCTGCGCCCCGAGATCGAGGGCGAGGACAATGAGACTCTCGTCGCCGCCGAGAGTGCACCCATTGTCATACTTGGCGAGCAGGAAACCGAACTCGAGGAAGGTCAGAGCATTGAGGACAATCAGATTGCGGAATCACGCCACATGGATCAGCAGCTCTACCAGCAACTGCTGCCAGCCCCCGCTCGAGACGTGGACTCCTCCTCTCACACCATTGAGAGTTACAGAAGTCAAGAAGGACCCGCCGATCACCAGCAAATCAATGTCCACATTGTGCACGATGAGTCGCAGGCAAAGGTGCCAGAAGCGCCCGAGTCACAGCCACAGCAGGCACTGGATCACTTCCAAGCCCATAGTGAGCAACGCTTCCAGCAGCATCATCAGACCCAAGAGGCACCCTCGAGGCAGTTTCTGAAGACCTTCAAGCCCATCATTTCGGGCAGTGCCGACAGACCCATACCCAAGGGCACCTTCCACTATGAGTCCAACAATCCACCTGCGCGCACAATCTCCAATCCGCCCAAGGAAGTTGCCTACGAGGGTCCGTTTGTAAGACCCGCCGCCCAGTTGAGCTACCAACAGGAGTTGAGTCCGCAGAAACCAGAGCCAGAGCCGCAAGCTCCACAGTCCAAGCTAAACACGCAGGCAATTGCTTCTCCTTCATCAGCAGCTGCTCCCGCGCCTAAACCTAGCGAACACTCAAACTATGGTGGACCCACGCCCAGTAGCTTGGTCTATGTTACGGTCAACTCACATAGCCCGACGGCCGCTGCGCCTGCCGCTCATCAGGCTGAGGAGCAAGCGGTGCCCCAGCTGCCTAGTCCTCACGATTATGTCTCGGAAGCCGCTGCCGAGCCCTCGCAGCATCATATACAGCATGCGCCTGCACCTAAATCCCATCTAAACACCCATTCCCAACCTGAAACTCAGCTCCTGGTTAAGCCCAATGGCTACACCTTCGTGGAGGTGCAGAAGTCCGTGAACATCCACAACAAACTCATTACTGAGAAGGACGGTCGTTTGGTGGAGATGCACGAGACCATTTACCATCCGCCGCCCTATCAGCAGAATCACTTTAGCGTCACCTCTTCCGGCTACAGTCCTAAGGACTTTGTTTCTGCTGCTTCGCCAGAGACGGCTCCTGCTCCAGCACCAGCACCAGCACCGCCTCCATCTGCAACTAACTACGTTTCCCTAGCCGCGAATCCCATCAATGTTGAGCAAGTGGAATACGACAGCGCACCGCAAGAGGGAGCCATCTCGCACGCAGCCATCAACATTGATGTGCCCCATCAGCCTAGAGGCCACGACGCAACACATGATGCACACCATGAAGCACCCCACCACCACCCTGTGACCGTGGTAGAGAAGCATTCGCCCCAGCCGTACCCGGTGCCGGTTGAGAAAATCATTGAGCGTCCCGTTAAGGAAATTGTGGAAAGGCACATACCCGTGCCATATGCTGTACCCCAGCCGGTGCCCGTGCCCGTTCATGTCGAGCACTATGTGGATCGTCCCTATCCCGTTGAGACCATTGTCGAACAGCCTGTGCCTTATCCCGTGGAGACAATTGTTGAGAAGATCGTCGAGAAGCAGGTGCCCGTCGAAGTGGAGCGGATTGTCGAGAAGCCCGTCGAGGTGGAGAAGATTGTGGAGAAGTATATAGATCGTCCCATGGCCATACCCATTCATGTGCCCGTCGCCATACACATGCCCATGCCACCGAACCACTCACCCGGCTTCAACTTTGGCTCACATCCCAACGCCCTGCACCCCTGGACGCATGCCTCGGTGGCTCATATCCCTCCCAAAGTTCTGCAGCACTATTACACGCGCATGCTGAAAAAGCTGCTGCCCCAGTTGGCTGCACCGCAGACGACAGCCAAAACGGCATCGAAGACCACAGCCAAGGCAGCCCTAGTGAAGCCTCCGGTTAGGCCTGTGCGTGGCGAGGCGCCCAAGGTGGCAACCTTCAGCCTGGCCGACATGCGCTTCGATTTGCGCCCGCCGCCACCGCCGCAGGGCTCACCTTGGCTTCAGGGCGCCCGCTACATATACAACACCCTGCCCGATGACTTGTCCGTTGCAGCTGCCTCGGCGCCCGCCCACATGGTCAAGTCCTACATAGGGCCCGTGCCCACAACTAGCACGAGCAGCGAGAACAACGGCAGCGAATTCGATGAGTTCCAACGCTGGCGCAATGGCCACAGCCTGAAACGCAGTCCCGACTTCGGACGCAATCTGCACCTGGAGTACGGCTTCAAGCCGCCCTTGGTGCCTTCGGTGGAGATCGATGATAAGGGCATGCCCCTGAAACAAGCGGATGCAGCAGTGCAGTAGTTGAAAGATGTTAACCAGTTGAAATGAAAAGCGTGCCAAAATATACAGCTATAGTTATTATTGTCTATTTATGTAAAATATTATAAATGCGCATTTAATAAATTTACATTAAACCAAGTAATATTGAATTAATAGAAAGAAATCGTGTGAGTAACTGTCTGTTTGCCTCGTATACCAATTAATAATTACAAATGGAACGCAATTTGCATTATCTGCATAAAATGTTTAACCCAACCTCACTTTGCAGAGTACATAACCTCACTTAAGAAGTGCTCGACAGCGCAACTGTGCTCAATTTAGCTGAAAAGCGCTTGATATCCATCTTCATATATGTTTGACACACAGCAAATCTGAAGCCTACAATTAGGCGCAATATTAATTAAACAAATGACAATGACAGCAGCGCTGCGGGACTGTACCACATGTACCTCGTGTGTGGCATGCCTTCAGTGGCGCGGGTCCAATTAAAAGTAAGCCCAAAAGCGGATTCTGCAGAAAAGGGAAAAAATTATTAATTTTCTTAAGTAGCATTTATGTAAATGAAAAATGCTACTTGCGAACACGAAGGGTTGTGCTGCCCCCGAATGCCTTATCTTTAACTGGCAGCAAACAGGCCCCAACAGCTGCCCCGACCAGGGTCTCAATTTTAAAATGGCGGCACGTCTGCTGCTCCAACGCCCGACAGAGGGCGGCAGCGTGCAAAGATTTATATGACAGCTAATAAATTTACAACACATGTAGCTCAAGATATTAGAAATATTTTTGGTGACAAGCGCTGGGTCCACACGTACGACGGCTTTTGAATGTTATTGAAGCATGCTTTTAGGCGGGCGACAAAATAAAAAACAGCCTCGCAAATATTTACACAGCCCCATCGCAGGGCACGTCGACCCACGACGACTGCAGTTGACATCTGACGGCAGCAAACTGTCAATAGTCAAGGAGCAGCAGCAGGAGCAGGAGCAGCAGGAACCAGCTCTGGCTGCCAGGCAGACAAACCGTTTAGCGTACGTGTTGGCGGAAACGGAAGCACTACAGCAGCGCGCCGAGTGGCAAGTGGCAAATGGTGAAAGTGGAAAGGCGAATGGGGGACATTTTGAAAAGTTATGACAATGGACCCCAAGTGCCTTGCCCTGATTCATGTTGTTCATAAACGCCATAAAGAGGATAAAATGGTTAAGTGCAGCTCCTGTCCCCGAAAGTAGACACTCAAGCGAATAGAGAAATGTTAACCATGAATACTCGTATGAATATCCAAATATCACATTTAATTAGGATATTCGAACATTTTTTGACGTTTTATTAATCAGAATTCAATTCAAATGAATAAAATAATTGCGAATTCCGATTCGAGGTTCTTTTTGTACAATTTTTGTACATTAGCTCGAAGTCTTTGCTCAGCATCGAACCTGTCAGGTGGTAAACATTTGGCTATCTTATTTTTAAATTTATTATTTAGTTGCGATTAGACAAAATGTATTTTATGCTAAAAACTCCAAAAAAATAAAGAATATATATTTAGCTGTATATGAGCATTAATTTCACATCTTCTCAAGACAACATATATATATTGCCAGTGGAAATTAGCCTAAAATATGTAGCTTAATCGATGAAGTGGCATGCCTCGAATGCAGAGAGGCAGAGAGACTGAAATAAATTATAATTTGTAATTTCGAATTTGAAATTCATGCGAATGCAGCAAATTGAAAATTCTCAACACTAATTTGAACGTTGTGCTGCTGCAGGCAAATTCCTCTCAATACGCTTCTTCTGACACACATAAATTGGCAGATCCTACCCCCGCCCCTCCCCCCTTCTCTTCGACTGCGCGCCCCTTGACTTTTGCTCCCTCTCTCTCTCTCAGTCAGCCTCTTTGCCCTGGCGGCAACTGCAACTGCATGCAAATGCAATTTTATTTAACTTGTGCCAAATACGCAAGCATAAATCAAAAATTTATCGCATCGCCACGCCCACTTTGGACGCAGATATATGATATCAGAAATCAATTGCAGTCCACAATGCATTCACCAATTTGATAGACTCCACGAGGAGGCTGCAAGTGTGGGGGGGGGGGGGGGGGGTGCAGCCAGAAAGATAAGCCAAGGAACAATTGAATAATTTATATGCAAATAAATAAAAGTATTTCAACAATTCATTCGGCATGCAAAAGCATACAACAAAAATTTCTCCGAGTTGTCGAGAAATTCTCTCACTCGCTCGCTCGCTCGTTGCATAAAAAAGCGTGTGAAATATATTTTCAGGCCACGCCACAAAAGGCGTAACACACACTACAACAACTACAACAACAACAGCAACAGCAACAATAAATAGCTCCTGGTGCAACTATTGGCGACGCTTTCAAGTTTTTCCTATTCTTTTTTTTCTGCCAGCGGCGGCATTTTCCATCTCCTACCCTCAGCCATGCCCACATTTCCATTCTCGGCGTTGTCGTCGGCCTTTTTGGGCTTGGCTGCTGCCGCTGCATGTCATTGTCAGGGGCTGCCAACTCTGCGTTTGATATACGATTTGGAAGTGTTGGCAAGCCGCCCAGTTGTCGGGCGGACGGGCGGTCGGCGGACGGTCGGACTGGCGCTCGGGCGGCGACACTGCGAGACAAATGCAGCTGAACCGAAAATTGCATTTCCGCTTTGAAAATTGCGCAAACTTCCGTACAGAAAGTGGGGAGAAAAAAATCGTGCTAACCACGAGTACGTCGCACGAGCCGCCACGTCGCCAGACAATTGGCAAAAATTTTCTATAAAAGTGTGAAATAGGCCGGCTGTCTGCCAAAGAGGTCCTGACATGCCGTAAAGTGGCCCCAGTGAACCACAGAAAACTTGTCACACAAAAATGAACGCAAAAATGTCAAAAGCACACACACCCCGCCCCCACACACACGCCGACACACACCCAACGAAAGAATGAAGTGCAGCGGGTGTTGGCGGAAGCAAGAGCTGTTCGGGCTGTTCGGGCTGTTCGGACAGCAGCAACAACAAAACCGACCACTTGTCAATTGCTATCTAAAACGAATCTCATTTGCTCTAACTAAATGAACAAAAATTAAATAAGGGAATAACTTTGTTTTCACTATTAATAAACTAAAGAATTCCGAAACAAAAACTTTACTACAAAATACTTATTCGCCCTTAGAGTGAAGAGAAATACTAAAAGCTGTCTATAAACAACTAACACTGTTGTTTTAATAGACAACGAAAATGTACTGATTTTAATTTTTAAATAGATTTCTCATAAAAACATATTTAGGCAATTTAAAATATTTTCCTCTTCAGTGTTCATATAATACGAACAATATAAATATTTGTAACAACATCTACAGACATTTCATTTCTCATATTTGCACTTACCACAAACAGGTCACAAATTTATTAAAAATATTTAAATGCTTCCATGTTGGCAAGTGTAAATATGAAAAAGTTCTTCAGGAGCTGTCGCCTGACATGGGTTCGTGTCATGGCCAACTATTTGACTGGCTGTTTGGACTGACTGCTTGGTGCTAATGGGCGACAATTTGGTGGTGATTGTGCAGCAGTCAAATTGCTCTTATCTATCTCCAAGTGGAGCAGGTGAGAGACGCAGCAATAACCGCAAGCACACATAACTACACACTCATACAAACACACACGCATACTTAAACAAGAGTTTTATTTGCCAGTTGCAGCTTGAAAAATTTCTGACGTTTAACAAGCGGCAACAACAAACGAACAAACAAACATGAAAACGCGCACAAACAGGCACACGCACACACACATATGTACTTGCAAGCACAAACACACGTGTACGACCACAGATTCCATTCAATCAGCGCCGTCCAGCAACTAACGGCAAAATAAGAAAAAAAAAAATATGACGCAAGAAGTTTGCCACGTGCTAACAATGTAAAGTTTCATAACTTTGCACTGGAACAGAACGCATAAAAACGTGAAAGAGTGAAGAGGTCGGCAGCACAATGGTCAACGTTAGAAACTTGAGAAAGCATGTTAGAGCAGTGCGACGAATGGGCAGCGCAGACAAGGATAGCGATGCTGACAAGTTAACAGCTGTTAACAGCGCTGTTAAAGCTGCAATTTCAAAGCCAGGCCTGAAAGTATGCTGTAAGAAACGCTAACAAACAAAGCTTTTAAAACAAGCTTAATAAAATTAATTGCTTTTTTTGTTGAGCTAAACGAATCGAATGTGTTTTAATTCGAATTTTTTACTAATACTTTAATTTAGACAGCAACTGGATCGAAAAAAATAATTTACAATCAATAGCCCACATTGGAATATATTCGTGCAGAAAACTAATCAAAAAACTCAACTGCAGTGCACAAATACATATTGTAGATATTGATAAAGAAATGTAGAAAAAATATAAGCAAAAATTATTGGCAAGCCAATGAGAAATTTCAGCAACAGCAGCAACCAAATGAATTGTATTTTCTGCCGCAACAAAAATAAGAATATTGCTGCAGGAGCACAAAACGTTACGTTGAATACTTCACATAGAAAGGCAACTGGCAACTGACAATGAAGGCAGCTAAAGGATGAAAGATGAAGGATGCTGGGCTGCAGGGCTGCAGGGCGAAGGAGGTGGGACGAGGAAACGCAGACAGAGCTGTGCAGCAGGCACGCATAGATGATTTTGATAATAATAATAACAACTATAATGAAAAGTGAACACAACCAACCGGCAACAGCAAACAGGCAACAGGCAACGCCCCGGCTCAGCCCAATCCGGAGATGATGCTGAAAATTACAAGCGGCTGCCAGCAGCCGGGCTAAGAATTTCAATCAGTGGCCAGAAGACAGAGCCGAGCCGGCGCAACTTTGTGATTGCATAACTGCGTTGCGGCCTGCACTGCCGATGACTGCCCCAGCGGGTGGCCGAGCTGCCTTCCAGGTGCTCCATCTAGCTCCATCGGCTCCGCATCCCAGCAAAGCTCCGTGCAGCATTCTTTGTGTTCATCGAGCTGAGCATCTTTGCCAACCGTTTGCCAGCAATTTTCTGTCAAAAACAACAGCAACAACAACAAGAGCACCAGCGAGCAACAACTTTTGCGGTACTTTAAGCCCAGAATCGAGTTGGCAGCTCCATCAGTGAGCCAGCTCCTGCTCCC